TGTAAGATGGGCGGGACCATGCGGTGGGCGGAACTCAGAATGTGTAGTTTTTGGGCAGGCGGTATTTCTAGCTTCTACCGCCTGCTACGCAGGCTAATCGAAAATCGGTAAATGTTTTTCGGTTTATTACTTCTCAGGGCCGTAGCAGTCGGGGGGAGGGGGGGGGGAAAGACTGGGGGCAGCAGCCCTTACAATAATTTGCTGACTATAATAATTCTTTTTTCAAAATCATTCACACTTTTATCATTTATATACTATGATATACCTTTAAAATACTGACAATACACTAGAGGTGTGCATCGGGTCGGATTGGACGTTTATAATCCGATAATTGCCTAATGTTTAAAATCCGATCCGAAATTGTCTAATCCGAATCCGATCCGAGTTGTGAAAAAGAATTCCAATCCGATCCGATGAAATCTTTAATAAAATAAATTTCTCATTCAAGTTGAAATATTTAACCATATAAATATAAAAGCAAGAAATACATGTCAAGAAGCTGACAAAGTGACGTCCAATTGAAGTATCAAACGAATAATGCAGCGAAAACCGCGATGATACTTTGATAAATGTATGGATAATTAATTCTTGCGATAATGCATGGATAATTAATTCATTTTATTTCGGATATCGAAGTCCGATCCGACTACGAAACAGCTTTATCAATCCGATCCGAAATTTACATTTTGGTTCCGAAATCCGAAAGACTCCGATCGGATTCGGATCGGATTTGCACACCTCTACAATAGACCATAATTTCCCCATTTGAGTGAAATTTTGATCTAGACAAGCCTGGACAAAAATTTCACCACAGCTTGAAAGAGCATCACAAAATTAGTAATATTCCGAAGTTTCGTTGAATGTTGTAAAATGCGGATAATATAGCCTTGCGAAGTTTGCCGTTTTTCAGTCATTTTGCATTACAAACGGGAAATTGATAATCAGATGACCAAACTGATGATCAATTTCCCATTTGTAATACAATGACTGAACTAACGGCAAACTTCGCAAAGCTATATTATCCGCATTTTACAACATTTCGCAACAAAACTTCGGCATATTACTAATTTTGTGATGTTCTTTCAGGCTTGTCTACAGGGTGTATCAAAATAAACGCAATTCATCTTTTGTGCTTAATAACTTTCGAAATACTATTTCTAGTTAAACTCTTTTAGGCTTACTTCAAAGCCTGTCCTTTTCTCTTTCAAACAAACTATTATCATTGTCTCCAATGCTAGTAATAATTGCACAGGAAACGATTTAGTAAAACCTATCATTTTTAGTTGCTGTTTAATTATGCAAGTTTACTATGTTATTGTTTAGTCGGTTTAAATGTTAGAATTTTCTTCTTTAAACTTTAATGCTGTCGTCACTACATCTGGAAAACCACGTAAGAACAAATTAAAAGTATTTTTAAAGAGACCAGGTTGTTTGAAAATCCTAAAAGAATGCTAAAAATCGTCAAAACATTCTGGTGTCTGAGCCAGAGTGTCATCGAATTGCGATGTAATGTAAACAGAAATTATAGCAAGTTGATGTCAGTCAGCTTAGATGATCCAAGCCAAAATTATATCGCATTTGAAGTTTCAAACTGAGTTAAAAATAGTGGAAGAAAAGCCGTAATTATACTTATTGTTACAATCATTTAATAAAATGCAACATTTTTTTGTTTTAATGAAAAAATCAGTTATTTTCATGAGAACGATTTGTTATTCCATCTCAATTTTTTTAATCTTCAATCGCAATAACTTAAAGTATTATTAGCCGCGAACCAATGAGTCAAATTTAAGAAACAACCCACTGTTAGAAAGCTGAATGGTTACACTTTAAAATGAATGTAAACTTTAACGCTTTTGTCTATTATTTGTTTAGCAATTTACATTTCAGTCGAGGATTGCGCTTTTTTTGATACACCCTGTAGATCAAAATTTCACACATAAAGGGAAAGGTCTATTGATTAATTTTATTAAGCGGCTACATTATCCATGACAAACCGCAAAGAATCATATTACCTATACTCTTTCCTGCAATATATAGTTAATTAAATACGCCTTCGCCCATTTAGTTCTACTAAATTGTAAGCAAATTGTAAATTTCGACATACTAAAACTCTATTAACAACTCGAACCGACTTGACCACGTAGCTCAGTTGGCAGAACATTGGACTAGTATCCCAAAGGTCGCGGGTTCGACTCCTACCGTGGCCAAGCAAACTTTTCAGCTTGCCCGCTGTGGATGCATACTCAGACGGTAACGTCACAAATATCATACTAAAACTCCGTTTTCTGACCATCAGAATTCTGTCAAAACTTCCCCAAAGTCCAGGATATGGCATTTCAGAGAATCTAAATTTAAAAATTTCCACGGGCCTTCGGCCCTCGTTCCCAGCCCACAATAAAAAAGAGCTTCCTGCGGCACTGCATTGTTAGTAAATTGCATCTTCATTTTCCGGATAGCAAACACCTTCGTGGTTTCGTATGCCATGAAATATTCGGAAATTTTCTTCGTCATTCGGAAATTTTTGGCCTACACCCCCCCCCCAACTATACATGCTAGCTACGGCCCTGAAACCACTGCGTCATACAACTTGACTACCACCGCTATTCTAGCCTGTGGCGATGTGCATCCTAATCCAGGACCAGCTTTGAGTAGCTCTAGAAAACAAGTTGGGGGCAAAACTGAACAGTTTAAGAGCTTTGTATCTAAACGCTCGTAGTCTAAAGGCAACCGCAGAATCTACGGACGACAAGGCAAAGAAAACCAGTAAGTTGACCATTCTTCAGAATCTTGTTTATCTCGAACAGTACGATATCGTATGTGCGTGCGAAACCTGGTTAAATGAATTAATTTTTGATAACGAAATTCTACCCGGTTACACCATTCATAGAAACTGAAGACCGACACGGGAACATGAGAGATGGCGGAGTTCTTATAGCGATAAGAAATGAACTGCACTCATCTCGAAGACTGCTACTTGAAGGTCAACAAAGTGAACACCTCATGATAGAACTGTATCCTGCGAACTGCTCGAAATTCCTATTAAGTCTCTTCTACTCTTCTATACACCACCAAATTCTGAAGAAGATATACTAATCGAGTTGAGAGAATCTCTTGATCGTTTAGATGAATCATGTCAACTTGTTATGATCGGTGATTTTAACCTACCCAATATTGACTAGTCATTGGACTTTCCTTCTCCCACATCTAAAGGCAGTTTCAAGGAGGAACTTTTTTGCGAGATTATTACAGATCAATTCCTCTATTAACAAGTTGTCGGTCCAACACACCTGCGTGGTAATAAATTGGACTGTGTATTCTCAAATTCTCCGATGCTCATCACGAACGTGAACTGCACAAATCCAACTGATCATTACCTTATCGAGTTCGATATCAAAGTTTGTTTTCAAGAAGCAAAATCGATAACTAGACGAACAGTGTATGACTTCAATAATGCAAACTTCTATGGTGCTTGTGAACATCTAATGAATGTCCCTCTCGATCCTGCGATATCCAATAATTCAAATATAGACGAATGTTGGAAATCATGGAAAGATCTATTTCTCACAGCAATATATAAATTTGTGCCTAAAAAAACAGTCGTTGACACCAACACACCACCTTGGATAGACCGGGATGTTAAACACATGATTAAGAAGAAATACACAGCTCTACGATAATATCGTCAGAAACGAACGGAAGGACGAAAACGCAAACTCCGTCAGTTGACGCAGGAAACTAAGGACTTGATTAAACAAAAACGCCATCAATACATAGGAAAAGTTCAAGATTCCGTCGCAAAATCACCTAAGTTATTCTGGTCCTACCACAAAAACATATCCTCCGCAATAGAAATTCCCCCACCTGCCAACACGTACAACAACTCAACTGCAACAACACCATACAAAAAAGCAGAACTTTTCAACGCATTCTTCGCCTCTGTTTTTCTTCCGAAGTCATCTTCTGAAGATGCAAACCTGAACATGACACCGAAAACTGAAGAAATAATATCTGATATTCAGATCTCGCAGAATGAAGTCGAGCAGTCCCTTAACCATTTGGACACAACAAGGCTTATGGCTCAAATAGAATACCACCACGTCTACTGAAAGAATTCTCAAGAGAAATCTCGACCAGCCTCTGCAGTTTGTTCAACATGTCCTTAACAACAGGCCGCCTACGCAATTTTCCCTTTCGTAAACGGTCTTTGCCATCCCATACGGTCTTTGCCATCCCTGCTCGAGTTGCATCTCGGGAGCTCGCGAGATCTCGCCACGCGCTGCGCGCGCGTTTGCATCATTGCACGTGTTCGTGAAAATGTTTATATAAATTATATTTTTGAGTGAAAAATATAAATGGCGGCAAGCAGAAACTTAGAAGGCTTTGATGATTTACTAGATAACGCGTTAAAAAAAGTCGATCACCGTATTCATTGTGAGAAACAGACACAAGAAGAAAAGCAGAAATTTGAGAGTGCTGTTTTGGAAAAGCTTCCCGAGGATTACCTTTACGAAGTCAATGAATGTTTAGGTACTGAATCACAGTTTAAGTTGAAGATAACTACAGATAATCTTTCGTCGGATGATTTAAAAGGATGGCTTGCCGAATTTCAAGCCCTCAACAATGTAACTCTCAAAGTTAGAGCAAAGAAGAAAGAAACGAAGGGTTATTCGATCCAGCATTACTATAGATGCCAACATGACACTAGACGCTGGAGTCCAAGTAAGGACCCCCAGAGGAAGCTGAAATTGAATCCAGCAGCCAGAGTGAAAAATACTAACTGCCCATTTCAAATGGCTGTAAAGATAGATGCACAAAACAACTGTGTTATTGATATTGAATGGGAGCACAACCATTCACTATGTACTTTGGAGTCGTCAAACTTTAAGGAATTGTCTATAGCAAGCATCGAAGAAATTAAGAAGCTGTATGAAGCAGGTGAAACCCCGTCTACTGCACGCCAGATATTCCTAAAGAAATTCCGGTCTAGCTGCTCGAATGACCTAGATTATCATGTGAAGAAAGCAGATCGCTCTGTGGTACCAAGGAGACGAGACTTTTGCTACATTTACCAGCAGTATGGCAAGGAGAGATTTGGCGGAAAGAATGGTGAAATGCTGGATAAACTATCTGCCAAGTTGGATGATTTCCACGAAGCTAACCCTGATGCCTCGGTGGAATACCAACAGTATGGTGGTGATAATACTCCATTGATCATAGCCATAGTGACGCCATTGATGAAACGCATACATAAGTGTGTTCCACAAAGTGGGGAACTCATCTTTGTGGATTCAACGTCAAACACTGAGGAGCAAAATATTAAGGTGTTCCTTCTTTGCACTGCTAATGTTGCAGGTGCATTTCCTTGTGGCTTACTGATAACCAGTGATGAGAAAGAAAGCACATTGAAACATGGTATGTAATAATGTATATATGCAGACCCAAAACCTAGTTTGTTTCCCCCACTTCACTCTACCTTAAATGCCAAAATTAGCTTTATTATAATTTTTCAGTAGAGTAGGCCGGGTATAGCCTGCAAACAGGCTCTCAAACTGCATTGAGAGCCTGCATCGATGACTAATAAATTTGAATATCTGCGTCTCAGATCGTGACGCGAAATTCTCATTGGTCAGATGCTATAATTTATATGTTTCCGCTGAGCTCTATATATGTCAACTGCTGAATCACTATGCATAAAAAACACATTAACTGATCAAATTGGTCTTGGCCATCTTATCTCAAAGCACGAAATGTTCTGTTTTGAGAAAACAGTATTTAAAACATTTAAACTTTTGCTTGAATATCTTATATTTCGAGGGGGTTGGCAGTGACATTTGTCAAAATTATAATGTCTATTTCGATAAACTGTAAATTGCCAAAATAATCGTCGAAAACTGTGGTTTCAGAAGCGTTGCCTCAACACACAAGCAACGTAGAAAAATATGAAAAGTAATTGTGTAAGTTTAATTAAAAAGATTACTGAACTCCATTTATATTATAAAAGAGTTGAAATATTTATAGAACATACCTATTGAGTTTGAGTTTGTCTTGATTTTTCGGGATATTTGTTTTGGCTTGCACAACAACGTTGAAAATTTATTTTTAAACGACGATTATTTCTGTAGATATTCTGTTCAGAACTGTTGCTTTTCGTAAAAAGCCCACTAGAATGGGTTTTTAGACTCTTTTTCTTCACTGTAAAACTTTTTTTCCATTTTAAGTCTCGATATAAAAATTTTTGCAAACTTTGCAATTGGAAAAACAATTCCCATTCTCTGCAACCGCGCGAAATTCCCCGCCTCAGGAGTCTGGGATCAACCAAAATGCCCTTATAAATCCACCATTTTGTGGAGACAAATTTTATACTGAGAAAAGATAGGAGTACGCATTTTATATCTATTATTTCTATGGGCTGCACGCAGGCTAGCCTTAAGTGAGTGAGCAAGGCAGCATACCTAAATCATGCCAGTGGTGCTTTTCTTAAGAAAACTTGCCGCTAGCCAGTAGGCAATACGGTCGGCGACCAGAATTCCGTGCGCGACGAGCTGGTCGGGGATCAGAATTCCATGCGTGCGATAAACAATTTGTCAGTACAGTGGTATTCTTTGTCTTCTATATTATCTCTCAACTTCATGACTTTGCAAGGTTCATATCTTCGGTTTGGTGCATGTATACCAAACTTTGCGTTAACAAATTTAAAAGTCGTGTCGTATTGCGCGTATCATATTTCCAACTTTTCCCTATACAAATCACCCCCAAATTTGATGTTTTTTCGCTTACATTTGCTCTACGAATATATCTGTGTTCAGTTACCCACGGTATTGGAAAGAATAAGCCTTTAGACGTCTTTTGAATGTACTTTTATGGGAAAATAATACTTAATTCGACTTTTCGTTTGATTATGCGCTATTTGTTATGATTTTATATAGGAAATTCGCCTCGAGCGCAGTGTCTGTAGAAGAAAACTGGCACTAGGACCTTATGCGCAGGTCTTTGACTCCAATTGCCACCAGATTTGACGTCTTCGTGAAATTTGGCGCATTTTGATAGCTAATTCATGTTTATTTATTGCGATTTAGGAAGGGCAAAAATCGCAAAATGTGCGCGCAAAGATGTGGGTTTTGGCTTGTGTTTACAAGCTCATTAATAATTCACTTGATCTCGGCTGTAGGGGATGGCGAAGCCGAAGGGACGTCTTAGATTCAATATCTCCCTTATATGTCTTTATATATTGTATACCAGAATCCCGATAAGTGTTGAACAATTGTAATGATTTTATGTTTAGTAAAATAATAATAATAATTTGAGCAAATGTTCATTCATATAGTGCGAAAGTTTCTACGGAAGACAAAAATACTGCCATTCGATTCATGATAAGTGAAAGTTCCTCGTTTTTAGTTTTGCCATTTTTAAGATTTACATGAAGTTCATTCACAAATAATCACGTAATGGCATGTAATAACAATAAAACAAAACAAAAAGTGACTGTGGGGACATTTTGGAGCTCTGCCGCTAGTGCCGCAATCTGACAAAAACTGGCAGGTAACCTAGTTGCTGCCGCAGCGAGCGAGCCTGAAGCGAGCGAGCAAGGCAGCAGATCCTAATTTTGTTTTGTAGGTCGAAATCAAAATTTTCTATTTGGCGCATTGCATGACGGTACCAGTGAATTTTAACCGTGGTGCAGCGCGGTCAGGCATAAGGCAAACAGGCCATGTGATCATCTTTCATCTTTGGTCTTCTTTTATGGAAAGCCATAGCTGGCTTAGAGTGATCAAACGGCATTTTGTTGGGTTCTTTTAGCATTATACGGCGGTGCTTTCGGCATTATACAAGGTGCTTTCGCCATTATACGCGGTGGTTCCAGTATTATACGCGGTGCTTTCACCATTTATATACGCGGTGTTTCGAGTACTAATAATATGCGGTGCTTTTAGGGGCTAATTACATGGAGCCGAGTTACCCGGCTAAGCGAGTTGAAAAGCGCATAACATCAAAGACTAATGAGCCTAAGCCTTTGATCTCATGCGCTTTTCAACTCGCTTAGCCGGGTAACTCGCCTCCATATAATGAGGGCCTTAATATTATAAGCGATGCTAGCTTTCATTCAACATTATTTCCATATTCTTTCCATGACATGTATATGATGGTCTGCAAGGACAATGACATGCTTTTCTGTGTATATAAATGAATATAACGCAGCGAATGCGCCAAACAGTATAAACGCGTCTGAAATACGGTATTAAAATCTTAAGTGTGCCGTATGATTTTTTAATTATGTTTTAGAATTTACAAATGCTTTGTCATTTGTACTTTTATACTTGTACTGCATCACAAGGCAGTACGTAAGAGAACAAATTCCACATGTGAGATTGTCTTGTAATTTGTATACATTTTTGCTTTCTTTGATAAACATTATTAAACACGCAAATTTTAATTAGTGAGACGCAATGTTAAATCATATTTAATAGAGGAGATGGTTTGGAAACTCATTAGCATTACAATAAACCTCACTATCTATGTTTTTGTTCAGGTTTATGCAAAAATGTGGTCTTTCATCGTCACGTGCGTATTGTATTTTTGCTCAACCAGCCAATAGCAACGGTTTTGTCCAATTGCCCATCCATGACTTTAACAATAGGACATTTTGAACATTCGTATTGGTTGACTTGAGAAAAATACAATACGCACGTGACGATGAAAGACTACATTTTTGCATAAACCTGAACAACATAGATAATGAGGTTTATTGTGATTTTATTGTAATGCTAACGAGTTTCCAAACCATCTCCTCTATTAACTATGGTTAAATGTCACCTGCATGTCATTGTCATTGCCCTTTAACCCCTGGTCTAATTGGCCGCTTTTGAAAATGTTTGATCATGACGAACCGCACTGCCTTAATTATGCAAACTTTGTGTTTTAAAAACGGGTTAGGATAAAACGCGGATACGGACGGACGGATGAATGACGGACGGACGGACGGATGGCGACGGACGGACCGGACGGATGACATATATATGTCATTATATAGTCTGCGCGCAGCCGCGCAGGGTAGTTAGTGCCTTACGTCTTCGCTGGTTGTTATAGTTTAAAATAATTTTGTATATACCGATAAATCAATATTCCGAGTATATAAATATATAAACTGGGATGTCACACTT